ATATGGTAAGTATAACAATACAGTAAGTTACTATGAGACAATCACATATCACTCTGCATTTGACTTCATGTGCAGTTTATGATCTTGCATTTTACACAACTTTAATAGGCCCTGCTGCCAAAACAGAGGAGAAAAAATTTAAAAAAAAAACTTTCAACACAAAGGAGAAATAATTCACCAAAAGAAAGAGCTAAAAGAAAAAAAGAACAAGAGTTACTCTACCTGAAGACTAGGGTTGAAAAACAAAACTTAGAGTATAATAAAATCCTGCTAATGAACTACTAGGGCACTGAAAATAGGTTTAATTTTCTGGAAGGCGATAGGGCAATATAGAAACTGGAAATGAACACACCTTTTGATCCAACAAACCACCTTTAGTGTAAGGAGAAAACTACACACATGTACAGATCGGTGTTCAAAAGAAATTAATTATCATATTTTTATAATAGGACATAATTACAAATAATCATAAGGAAATATAATGCTCATCAGTGCTAGATTAATTAAATTAATATATTAATAAGACGGAATAGTATGGGGCCCCCAAAATGATAAGGTAGTGTAGTATTCATTCATGTAGAAGGAGATATCCAGCATGTTGGATAAAAAATAGTAGGTTCCAAAGCAGGATATATAGTGACATTACCCTACTTTTAGAAGTTGGGTGGGGGGGCAAAAGAAATGAGTGAAAGGACATTTCTGAAATGTTCATAGTGGTTAATAGTGGTGGCCCTTTTGAAGGATAATCTGACAAGAAAAATAGTAATTTAAAAGCCAACATCTATAACATCTGGAATAATGTTGACAATAAAAATAAAGAAAAAATAAAAGTCAACATCTATAAATATACTGTATGAAAATAATCATACGCACATATAAAGACATTTTCTATGTGCTAGTGTTTGTAATTAGAAAATTGAAAACAACTCAAATGATCTTTGATGGGGACTGATTAAAGTGCATACATACGATAAAAGAGCATGCCGCTAATAAAAAGAATATGATATGCTTATCTGCGCTCATATGCAAATAAAATTTAAAATATTAAGGTCTTGAATTGACTTATATATACAGTATACCATGAGCTATATATAACACAATCCCATTTATGGTTTTTAAAAAAATTATGTTTAGCTAATCATCCAAAGGATCTGGCATGACAGACCCCAAAATGTTTAGTGAAGTGAGGGTTTTTATTTTTTACAGATTTTTGAAATATCTGAGTTTCCACAAGTATTTTCAACATAAAACATGAACATTTATTAATAGTGAACATGAAAACAAGTAAGATAAATAAAGTTATTCCTGGAAAGGTCACTGATCTTCTGGATCTGCATTGTCCAATAAAATAGTCTAGTGAGACTACCAAGCACTTGATGTGTGTCTGTTCTAACTGGGATACACTGAAAGAGAAAACATGTACCAGACGATATTTGGAGGATTTAGCATTAAAAAAAATATATAAAATGCCTAATTAGTACTTTTATATTGATCACATGATGAAATAAATGATATATTAAATAAAATATACTATTTAAGTTAATTTCACTTGTTTCTTTTTAGTTTTTTTTACATATATAACTCGCTGTATTTCCACTGGACAATGCTGTTCTGAACAAAGATAGAAAAGGGGAGCTAATGAATTATTCTCTCATTACTCTTAGTTAATATATAAACATTTCTATTTATAAATGTGTTTTTGTCAGTTACTTTCAGAATCTTTCTACCAAATATATTAATTCAAAAACAAATGGTCACAGTTAAAAAGGGAGAACTTAAAAGGATACTATACTCAAAAGATCCAAAATGCCCTGTGTTTTATTTGAAATTTTTATCTCCAAAAGATTGCACAACTTGTGGGAGGATAAGGGACTTTGCTTTGCTTGGAATTCAAACAAGGCTCCTAAATGTCCTAAATTTCTACGCTGCTAACAGTTTTGTGTATCAGTACTTAGAAACTAGGAGTCATTAGATTAGAGTCTAATTTTGGTTCCTTTCTTATTTTCTTTGGCATAAAAATTTTTAATTTTACGACAATACTGGTTATATTTGATCAGGGGGTCTATTTAAATAGGTACAAGTTCAAACAAAGATTAGATTCTGCCTTTAGTAATGTGTACTCAAACAGGAAGCACTGAAAGGTAAATATAAAACCTTTTATAAAATTACTACTTTCATTACATTTCCCAAGTTGACACTCTCCCATGGCTTGTAATTAGGCAAATTATTTAATTATATTCAATAACATGTCAAACTGCTATTAAAAGTTATACAAATATTTCTATCCAGAGACAATATACTATAAATCAAGAATATGTGAACTTACCTCCAATCTATCTGTTAGTGTTACAAGTGAGGAATTGTACAAATGGTGCAAAATATGTTAATATTCTAGTACAATAACCCAATTGGAAGAAAATTCCTCCATACAACACCTTTTTGGTATTAATGTCCAATTACTTGCATGCATTGGAAGGAGCTATTTTTCAAATGTCTTTCTCTAAAAAAAATCTCCTATATCAAAAAGGGGTGAATATCTACCATATATAAAATGTATGCCAGGAAAGCTGCCATGTTATGAGTTTATCATTCTCTTATTAGTTCAATAAGTATTTATTATTTCTCCAAGTAAGGCACTGTATTGAAGTGTTATAAAATATATAAATTAAAAACAGATATAGATCTTGCCAATAAATAGCTTATAATACAATAGAGATGAGAAGTTGGCCCCTCAACTAGAAAGTGGATAAAACATCAGGGTCAATAGTTTAAGCCAGAAGAGTAGACAGTTTAGTAAAGAGAAGTTTCAAAATATGTCCTTCATTACTTATGATAACAACACTAATTTTTCCCTTTGAAAAAGGGAGAAAATTCAAATTTCTTTACTAGTTCAACATATATAATTCTATAGCACATATCACTAGCAAGGGCAAAATGAAAATAAAGCATAAGGAAAATTGTGTTTTTCTTCTTCATTAGCGGAAATATTTGTATATTTTTATTTACTTGCATTTTTCATTTCTCTTAACAGAAACATTTACATGATCTGTAATGGACACTTAGAAAATATATACACAGGCTAAACAAAAGGTATAATTCCTTGTATTACACTAAAGTCCAAGAAAACAAAAGTCAGAAAACCTATATTCTAGCAAAATTTCCCAACTTTGTCATCTTAACATGATTAGATAATATTCACTAATAAAATATTACAGTATGTACATAAAGGAATTGTTTCTAATTACCAAAATAATAGCTAATATATAATCCTGTGGAATGTTTACTGAACACCAGGTAGTGTTCTAAGTGCTTTAAAAATATTAATTTTTAATCTTTACTGAATCTAATAAAGTAGGTATTTACTTCACTTGACAGATGATAAAAAGATACCAAAAAGCTAATTAGACCAAGAGTCACACAGCTGAAGAACAGCAGAGCATTGCAATGCAGCCAGTCTCTCTCCATAATCATTCTCTACCACAGTAGTATATACATCTCCTGTAAATATTATATCTCCAAAGCCCTTAATTCTAATTCATCAAAAGAGAAGGTTTCTATTTTATACCTGAAAGAACCATTTCTAAGAGTAGATATTTAGAAACTATGGTTCATTTTGTAAAGGAACAATTAAGAATTTTAACTGAAATTCATTATATTAGAGCTTTTCCCTTTGCCAAAATAAAAGGGGGGGGCAAGCTATTAACATTATGCAAAATTTCTTTTAGGTATGGCAGATTTTAGAGACACACATGTTAAAAATCATTTCATGTGATATAATGACTAACATTCTGAGTTCTTCCTATTTGCCAGATACTGTCCTAAGTGTTTTACACATATTTATTCTTTTAATTCTCATAACCCTATAAAGTATGTACTTTATGTGACTATCCTAACTTACAACTGAGGAGACTAAAGTATGGTAAGGTTAAGTAACCTGCCCAAGGCCGAACAGTAAGAGCTGGCTTTTGGACTCAGACTACGGTCCAGAACTCACGCTCTTAACAATTTTACTATATTTGTCAAAATAAGGAATTTTTACAGGATGTATTACTTTTCTCAAAAAGTTCTTGATATGAACACTCAAGAAGGATAATGACTTATAATTGAACTGAAGTATTAAGTATTTTCCCTTTTAACACTAAGTTAGAAGATGCATAGTAGAATATTAATTTTTAAACATACTACTAATATTTTGGTTTTGTTAAATTTATATTATCAAAATTGTTACCAAGCTCACAAACTTCAGAAAAATTTATATTGGGCAAATCATTCCTTACACTGGAAGTATTTAATTTGGGTTTGACCTTAGAAGATCGCAATCTTTCAGTGGGTGTACAGAAAAGAGGCTAGAACATAGAGACATAAAATATAATGGAGAAAAGGGGTGAAATGCCATTCAACATATGGGATTTTGTGATAATTTATAAACATGGTTAAGACAAATCATTTGAAGCAAAAATATATACTAACAAATAATTATAGTGACAAATAACAAGGAATATATAATAGTGTGTTAGCTTACAGGAAGTGCCACGGGAGTAAAGCATTGAGAACCATAAATATCAACCAAAGAACTGGAGGAAGGCTTCACGGAGAAGGCATTTATTCTGGGGGGGCAGGTCACCGTTTCCTTAAAAACTAAAATACAATTTGGCAAATGCATACTTAATTCATTAATTTTTCTCAACTTTAATGATGAATTTACCAGTCAAAAGAGTTTGGTGTTTACTTTTAAATCTCTAAAAATCATGATTAACTAAAATGAGCTTCTAAAAACAGGCTGACATCAATGAAAATGGAATTTATAATATAGCAAAATTAAACACAGTAACAATTTAAAATTACTTAAGTTAGTTGCTCATTTCTTTGCTTTCACTTAGCATTGATCTAACTCAATGTGGAAGGTTACATTCGTACAAGTTTACACAGCTTAATGATTAACTATATTCACCTGCCAACCTTACCCATTTATGTGGCAAATAGTGGTGTATATATAGAGTGTAGAAATCTAGGTGTGCTTACAGGAGAAAATTAGCCCCAAATTGCTTAAAATTGAACACTTAAGATAAAAATGTATTTGATTAAGCTCATTCTTTTTATTGCTCCTCTAGTTATTTCTTCCAGAATTGACCAAGACTATTCGACATTTGATTCTATAGCTCCACAGCCAAAATCGAGATTTGCTATGTTAGATGATGTCAAAATTTTAGCCAATGGCCTTCTTCAGTTGGGACATGGTCTTAAAGACTTTGTCCATAAGACCAAAGGCCAAATTAATGACATATTTCAAAAACTCAATATATTTGATCAGTCTTTTTATGATTTATCACTGCAAACTAATGAAATCAAAGAAGAAGAAAAGAAACTTAGAAAAACTACATCCAAACTGCAAGTCAAAAATGAAGAAGTGAAGAATATGTCACTTGAACTCAATTCAAAACTTGAAAACATCCTAGAAGAAAAAATTCTACTTCAACAAAAAGTGAGATATTTGGAGGAACAATTAACCAATTTAATTAAAAATCAACCTGAAATTCAGGAACACCCGGAAGTAACTTCACTTAAAGTAAGTAGAAACCAAAGTGTTCATGATTATGTCTCAATGTGGATCTTAAAAAAAATATATTTTGACATGCTACTTTACTTTGTTGCATAGTTGAAATATTTTATTATTTTTAAGAAAAAAAGCCTCCAAGAAATAAAACTTTTTATTATAATTTTAAGTTAGTTCTTTCCCTAACATTATATATGGAATCAACTAAACTTTACATTTCAGATGAAAGCTATAACTCAGTTAAATAATAAAATATACAACACAGAATTGCAAATTATTGGAGGTAAGTAAGATGTTCAAGGACTATAACTTGAAACTATTCTTCCATGTTTGAAATAAATAAAAGTAATATAGTAAATGGTAAAGATTTATTCACATTGAAATACTGGGGCTTTTCATTTAATTGAAATAATTGAAAGTTCAGGAAACCAATTTTATAAATGGTACACTTCAAGAAAAAACATGAAAACAATGGTAGGTACTATTTGAAAGAAGCATACAAGAGAAAAATAATTATCAATATTCATGTTTCTAATCTACTACTAGCTTTAAAAAATTAGATTGGGATAGTTATAGGAAATAAAAAAAATCTAATTTAACAAAAATGAAAGAAGAAACTTCTAACCAACCTACAACCTATGTCCAGACTTTTGTAGAACAGCAAGATAACAGCATCAAAGACCTTCTCCAGACCGTGGAAGAACAATATAGACAATTAAACCAACAGCACAGTCAAATAAAAGAAATAGAAAATCAGGTAAGTCAATATTTTAATGGTATATCCAATCTTTTACATAAAATTTAAGTTTATAAAAACATTGAACCCTAAAATTATTTTAAATAATTATAGCTGTTTAGTGAGTAAAAGGATCACATGAGCGTAACTGCTACGCTTGTAGGCTCAGAAGCTAATAAACTTACCAGGGTTTGAATCTTGATTCTAAAACTTTTGTATGGCCTTGAAAATTACTTAACTCCTCTATCTCTCACTTTCCTCACTTACTCTATGAAGATAATAAGAACAAAATTATCTTACAGGATTGTTGTGAGAAAAAAAAGAATTCATGTAATGTATATCTCAATATAGCCGCCAAAGTGATTATTAAAATTTAAATTAGACCACTTCTCTCTTTGTTCAAAACTCTACAACAATGACTTCCCATCTCATTTATCCTGGCCTGTGAGACCCCAGGTGCCCCTTGATTACCTCATGGACTTCATCTCTTCTACTCTAGTCATTCAAGTTTCTTCACGGCTACTGAAAAACATCAAACATGCGGCCATCGCCGGGCCTTTGCCTTGCCATTCCCTGCGTGGATTGCTCTTCTCCCTGGTTCTGCATGGCCCGCTCTCATTTTTTTTAAGTCCTTCTCCAATATACAATTCTCAACGAAGTCTTCTCAAGTCACTGAAATATTAGAATCCCCTGCTCCCATTCTTGAAACCTGCTACCTCCTTCATTACTCTGTTTTCCCCCCTTATCATTTTACTGCTATTTAACATAACATATATTTAGTTATTTATCTTGTCCATCCCTGCACTAGTATGTAAGCTCCGTAAGTAGAGGGTTTTCTTCCATTGTTTTAAAATGCCATTGCCCCAGAACATAGTCTACTGTCTAATACTTAGTAAGCACTTAATAAATACATGCTGAATTTATAAAGGTAATGTCTTATTCAGCACAAAAAGTCAATAAAAACTTATTATTATTGTTAAAAACTGTGTACCTGATAATTAAGTCTAATTCTAAACACTAAAATTAACCTACAATTAACCTACAGTCTAGGTAAAGCTGTCAGGAACTACACAGTCCAATATACAGGGTCTGGCACAAATAACGCCTCTTATTATAAAGTCATAAGCATATAATTCTGTAACACAATAATATCACACTCAAGCCCACCATATGACATTTTAGGTGAAATGTTCAAATTAAAGCTATAAATTATTACACCCATATTATTACCCTACCAACCACACTCAAGCAGGTGTTACTTCTGCTGGACCCTGTATAGTACAGTTCAAAGTATTAATTAATAATACTATTAAACAGTCATTCAAAAGGGTTTCAAAAATAACACAAACCTGGGCAAGCTGACAAAAAAAATAGTTGCCAAGAATTATAAAACAAATACTATTACCAATCCCCAGTAAAGAAACATATCACTAAGTTTCAGTAATTTTATGATTCATAATTTTAGTAGGTTATTTTGCTAATTTATGAATCATAATTTAGTAGGTTACTTTGTTAATTGTCCAAAAGGTTTTTGCCAAGTAGTTTGATTTCCATAATTTCATTCTTACTGTATGTTATTTTTCTAAATTCTATTTCCTATATCTTTTGTTATAATTAAATAAACCTGCTCACAAACATAAAATGTCATTATTATAAAATGATATACATCTAATAATAAAATGTATGAAGAATTCAAACAATGAATTTCTGAGTTAGCAAAAGCCTTAGATCATCTGATCCAACTCTGTCATGTTTAAATGAAGAAACCAAAACTGTAGAAGTTAAATAACCTTAAGGTAACATAAAGTTACTTGGTAGAAAAGACTGATACCCAGTAAGTGAACTTTATAACAGATCCTTATGAACTAGGTCCTAGGACATGCCATTTATGCTAATATCAAAAAACTAATATAATAACACAAGATATTAAATACATACTCTGCTTTTCTCAATCAATAAGAAAAACTATCAGCCAATAAGTTGCAAACATAGCACATTTTAAATAAAAGTAAACTGTTATTGCTAAACTAACAATGAAATATTGAAAATTTTGAAAGTAAGTAAATAAACCTGCCATTTGTTATCTTTACAGATGTTTACATGTCAAAAACTATCAAGAAAGCAGCCTTATTCAAGTTGTGTGCTATGTCTTTATGGCAGGTCTGAGAAACAGTAAGACCTACAACTGAGGATTATTAAATTTAAAATCTGTGTTGCTACTGAATACAATGTATATTTTATTCATATAACTAAATAGAACATATTAATATATTTACACAAATTCTTTGCCTCTGGTCTTGATGTTTTTAAACCAATTTGTTTCATTGCCTTGCTTTTTCTCTATTTATTAACTCATTAAATAATGTGCCTGATTAAATATTTTGAGAACAGATTATCTGTATAATGTGTATAGCACTGTTTATCCCTCTTAAAAATAAAAAGTAATAACACATGAACTAAAAGATGCATACGAGTTGTACTTTTAATATCCTAATTCAGATTCCCCTAGTTGTATATTCAGTGCCATTTTTAAAAGTAGATTTATATTCTTTTATCAGTTAAGAAGAAGTGGTATTCAAGAATCCACAGAAAATTCTCTTTCTTCAAAACCAAGAGCACCCAGAACCACACTTTCTCTTCACTTAAATGAAACAAAAAACATAGTACATGACGGTAAGAAAATTTGGTTTCCTTCTTGAAGCTATTATCAAATTCTTCTTCTATCTTTAACATTCCCATCAAAAATTCCCTATTCTCAGGGCCTGTTCTAGACTAAAAGAGGCTAAAGAGACAAAGCCACGTAATGCAGTGTCAACCTAAACTGGATCCTAGTGGGGTTTTTTAAAACCCTATAAAACCCATTCTTAAGATAATCATGGATATGTGAATATGACTTGGTATTAGACAGTATGAAATTATTATTAATTTTCTTAGATATAATACTGGTATTGTAGCCATGTAAGAAAATAATATGTTTAAGAGATGCATGCTAAAATATCTAAGGGATTAACAGTTATATATTTACAAGTTGCTTTCAAATAGTACAGAAAAATATGTACTTGGGTATATGTGTGTCTATAAAGCAAATATGGCAAAATGTGGACAACTGTTGAGTATGAATGGAAAGAGTTTGGTGTCCTCTTCAAAGTATCTACTTTCCAATTACTTGAAAATTTTCATAAGAAAAACAAAAAGATGGAGGAACAAAGTCTCCATTCCCAACCAAACTTCAACAAAATGATATACTTACAAAACACATTTATTTTTTTATGTAATTTATACAGAAAAAAAATGGTCCTTTTCCTCCATGTATGTTCACTCTCTTACATACATCTGTGACATCTTCAATGGCCAAACATTATACTAATGCCTCATATGTGGTATTTATATGTGGTATTTTATTTATATTCTTCCACCTTATAGACGTGTGGTTTATAATAAATTAGGTAACTCAATGCAATTTATTATATTTTGATTAGAAAATAAACAAGATAAAAAATAAGCAAAATAAAATACCAGAGGTTTAAAATCCAAATAATACATTATGTAAGCCATGATGTACTAGTATATATTTATAAGGTGGAAAACATATTCTTATATATATAAATAGATATATATTTATTTATATATCTCGCTTAGATATATTCTACATCTAGCAAAGTGCTTAAAATCCTCATTTTGTCATTTTTCTTAAAAAGAAATCAGTTTCGTAATGACCATTTTGATATTCTTTGCATAACATGACGTCTAATAAAAATGCTTTAGCATAAAGTACTTTTTCATTAATATATGAATTTCAGTAATACATTACAAAAAAGGCTCAAGGCTACAGTCACTGTAATTCAATAAAATGTAAAGTAAAATCTCTAGCTCTACAGATCTCATTCTTATTAATATATCTTATCTAATAACATTTTGTTGATTCTAGACATGCCTGCTGATTGTACTGCCATTTATAACAAAGGTGAACATACAAGTGGCATCTATTCCATTAGACCCAGCGACTCTCAATTTTTTAATGTCTACTGTGATGTTAAATCAGGTAAAACTAAACTACGAAGAAAATGGACAGTAGTTAGTTCAGGTTACTCACTACCTATTAGTAAGACTGATCCTATTATCTTTATTCTGAATACATAAAATGAAATATTAGGATTAGTAGTTATACAGATCTAGTATTTATATTTGTCTTTATGTATTTACTCATTCATATATTCAATATTCTCCTCCTTTTTCCGTAAAATAATCTGAAATGACTTACTGCCAGCAAATTTATTAAGACAAACTCATTAGTTGCCCTTTACTTAACTTATTAGGGCCATAATAAATAATAAAAGCATTATTACTATAACAACATTAGTAACTATTTAACAGAGTCACCAATGAAAGCCAAACCAAATAACAGTATTTTGTTACATCTTTCAGCATAAATCTACTAAAAATTAACATTTTCATTCACTGTATTCAGGTAATTCATGGACATTAATTCAACATCGAATAGATGGATCACAAAACTTCAATGAAACTTGGGAAAACTACAGATATGGTTTTGGGAGGCTTGATGGTAAGGTTGACCTCATCCATTTATTCATTCATTTACTTGATAAAAATATGTACTGAAGACTTACCAGGGACTAGGCATTAGGAAAGCAACAATGAATGAGGAACAGTTCCAGCTTTCATAACATTTATTAACAATTACACATTTGTTAGTAATTACAATTATTATATCTTTTTCTCAAGTATATTTTATTGATTACATTATTACAGTTGTCCCATTTTTTTCCCCTTTATCCCCCTTTACCTGGTAACCCCATTCCCTCCAACTTTCCCCTCTACTTAGTTCATGTCCATGGAGTGTATATAAGTTCTTTGGATTCTCCATTTCCTACACTATTCTTAACCTCCCCCTGTCTATTTTGTAGCTACCAATTATGCTTCTTATTTTCTGTACCTTTCCCCCTATTCTCCCCCCTTACCCCCTCCACTGATAACCCTCCATGTGATCTCCATTTCTGTGATTCTGTTCCTGTTCTCGTTGTTTGCTTAGTTTATTTTACACTTATTATGTCTTTATTTGAATGATACTGTTCACAACTGCATGTCTGTTCTTAAGTATACTTATCACAATATGATGGCTTCTAATTATTATAATTACTAAAAACAATTTTGATTAAGTGCTATGAATGAGCAACAAAAAACCATCTTTATCTTTATCACTCTTTCTTATTAACATTTTAGATATCAATTATTTGGAGGTTGGGAGAGACAAAGCTATCAGATGTATAGTATAAAATGTTTAGATTTCAATTATTTAAGTATTACAAGTGTATACTATAAGATGTGTGGTTTATAATAAATTAGGTAACTCAATGCAATTTATTATATTTTGATTAGAAAATAAACAAGATAAAAAATAAGCAAAATAAAAATACCAGAGGTTTAAAATCCAAATAACACATTATGTAAGCCCTGAATGATGTACTAGTATATATTTATAAGGTGGAAAACATTCATTATTTTATCCAATTTTTAAACACCTGATAAATACTATTGAGCATTAAAAAATTTTTGTATTCAAACTACCAGTTAAATCCCTAACTAAAAGATATATTCAGTAATGTTTTCTAGCTTCAAATCTTCTAAGAGTGAATGAACCCAAAAATAAGAGGTTGACAGTAAAGTTCAAAGTACTCATTCATTTCTGTAAGCAGGTAAGCCTTTATGCATCCAAAAATCTATGCATAAATGAGTGCCCAATATCTTTAAATATTAAATATCTATGCTCTCATATCTTTAAATTTAGGTTTTCTTATAATAACCCATTGGAAGCATATAGGACATCAGCTTTGGTAAAAAATTTCTATTCCCCACGTATGCAATCTCCCCCTGCCCCACCTTCGTGGTGGCTGTAATATACATGCTCAGTGTTGAAAAAGCCAGCTTTTCCTTGCTTCCTGGTTTCTAGTTCATAAGCAAAATTGACTGAACACTGTTGAGAGTAATCTTAGTGTTTTGACTGTTTTTTTTCAATCTTCCCTTTAAATTGTATTTGAGATAAAAAAGAAAAAGAAAGTAAGCCATTTGTACTGGCCATCCTTAAAATGAAGTCTCTTACTAATTCGGTAGCAACAGAAAATTTTTACTTTTTTCCATAAATACTTGATGAAAAGGATTGTGATAATTTAAAAATATCTATTTCTATTTCTGTTATGTTTTTAATTACAAATAAGAACAACTTTAAATATAGGGAAGAGTAAAGAATTATGTTTTTTAATTATAAATGTTTTTAAAAAATTTCCTTCTTTTATCATAAATAAATTTATATATCTAGCAAATATCAAAAGCCAAGACTATATTTGAGGAAGATGACTGCTATTATCCAGGTCTCTGGAAATACTTAACAAATCTCTTGATCATATATGGGTATTAGTAAAGAGCTGATAGTAAAGCCAGTACATATAAGGACCCAGAGGTGGGATAGCATTTTACCAATGACCAGACCTAAAAATACCTATAATAGTCTAATATGTTTAAGCCATGAAATATGTCTCATAATATCCATTTTAGAAAGGATAATCAGACTTAGGCAAGTCTAGTCATATCCTTAATATGTTTTATACTTGTAACTATCTTCAATAAAATTGTTTTAAAAAAATATTTTCAGAGACTCTAAAATAATGAAAGAATTTAAGACTAAAAAAACTCATTTACTTACACTAGTAAAAAAGTGTCCCCCCCAAAAAAAATGTCAGTACCTGTTGTGCAGTTAACAATCCATACATATATTTTACATTTTTACAACTTTTCTTTTCAGGAGAATTTTGGTTAGGTCTAGAGAAGATATACTCCATAGTAAAGCAATCTAATTACATTTTACGAATTGAGCTAGAAGACTGGAAAGACACTAAGCATTATAGTGAATATTCTTTTCACTTGGGAAATCATGAAACCAACTATAAACTACACCTCATTGAGATTACCGGAAATGTCCCCAGCATACTCCAGGAAAACAAAGATTTGGTGTTTTCTACTTGGGATCACAAAGCAAAAGGACACTTCAATTGCCCAGAAAGTTATTCAGGTATAGTTTTCCTACTACCAATACTTGGTTTTTCTTTTTCTTAATTATATTTTATTGATTATGCTATTACAGTTGTCCTGACTTTCCCTCCTTGGTCCCCCCCACCACCCAGCACCCATTACTCCCCCAGGCAATTGCCCCACCATTGTTCATGTCCATGGGTTATCATGCGTGTAAGTTCTTTGGATACTCCATTTCCTATACTGTACTTTACATCCCCATGGCTATTCTGTAACTACCTATTTGTACTTTTTAATGCTCTCCCCTCTTCACTCATTCCCCCACACCATCCTTCCACCTGGCAACCATCAAAACACTCTCTGTATCGATGATTCTGTCTCTGTTCTTATTGTTTGCTTAGTTTGTTTTTTAGATTCAATTGTTGATAGATTTGTATCTTTGGCCATTTTATTGTTAATAGTTTTGATCTTTTTCTTAAATAAGTCCCTTTAACATTTCATATAATAATGGTATGGTGATGATGAACTCCTTTCTTTCCTTCTTTCCTTCCTTCCTTTCTTTTTCTTTCATCTGGGGAGCTCTTTATCTGTCCTATGACTCTAAATAAGTTTGGCTGGGTAGAGTAATCTTGGCTGCAGGTCCCTGCTTTTCATGACTTTGAATTTTTCTTGCTAATCCCTTCAAGTCTGCGAAGTTTCTTTTGAGAAATCAGCTGACAGTCTTATGGGAACTCCCCCAAAGTAACTAACTTCTTTTCTCTTGCTGTTTTTAAGAGTTTCTCTTTACCTTTACTCTTTGGCATTTTAATTATGATGTGTCTTAGAGTGGGCCTCTTTGCATCCATCTTGTGGGACTCTCTGTGCTTTCTATACTTGCATGTCTATTTTCTTTGCCAACTTAGGGTACTTTTCTTTCATTATATGTTTCCTTTCCCATTTCTTCCTCTTTTTCTTCTCCTTCTGGTACCCCTATAATGCAAATGTTCGACCTTTTGAAGTTGTCCCAGAGGCTGCTTATACTATCTTCATTTTTTTGAATTCTTTTTTCTTCTTGTTCTGATTGAATGTTTTTTTCTTCCTCATGTTTCAACTCATTGATTTGATTTTTGGCTTCATCCACTCTACTGTTGTTCCCCTGTAAACTCTTATTTCAATCAGTGTATCCTTCCTGACTGGATTTTTTTATGCTGTTGAAGTCTTCACTAAGTTCCTTGAGTATCCTTATAACCAGTGTTTTGAACTCTGCATCTGATAGTTTGTTATCTCCATTTCATTTAGTTCTTTTTCTGGAGTTTCGACCTGTTCTTTCATTTGGGCCATGTTACTTTGTGTCCTCATTTTGGCAACTTCCCTGTGTTATTAGGTAGAGCTGCTATGACTCCTTGTTTTGGTAGCATGGCCTGATGTCGTAGGTGTCCTGTAGGGACCAGTGGCACAGCTTTTCCTATCACCCAAGCTGGGTACTTGATGTGCATCCTTCATGTGGCCTGAGTACCCGAGCCATGACTGCTATTAGCAAGTCAATGGGAGGGATTTACCCAGGCCAGTCAGCTACAAGGACTGGCTGTGACTACTGACCACTAACCTCCACTCTCCGTGGAGGATAAAGCTAGGCAGTGTCCAGGTGGTGGTGCTCTGAAATGGCCTGTAGCTGTCCACTGGGTGAGCAGGCTCTGGGGTTTCCCAGGTGGTGCAGGCCAAGGTCAGGGCCCACCTGTCTTCTGCCTGGGGCCACCCTGCCTGAGCTATAATGCAATCTGAGATGGCTGCTACTTGTGCTGGGCTTGGAGATTCCCAGACAAAGCCAAGTGGTGAGTCTAGGTTTGGCTCCTGGTAGTGCCAGTCCTAGGGCCACTTAACAAGAGGTACAGGAACTGAGGCTCTCTGAGGCCAGCTGTTGCTTGTTTGATAGGATTTTGGAAGTTGTAAAGCATGTGCCAAGACCAACCATTCATATGGGAAAGCAGCTTGGGTGAGCCCAGATGCTGGGCAGGGGAGAGTCTCTGGGGATCTCCAAGGTGGGTCAGTGTTAGCCAGGTTGACAAAGTCTCAGATATGGCACCAGCATACTGGCTCTGTGGGGGAAGGGTTTAGAAAAGGAACAGTGGCCTCTGCTCACTTCGATGCCAGGCACTTCAGTTTCTTCATTATATCACTGGTGCCTTTAAAGCTGTTACCCTAGTCTGGAGGTCACAGTGAGTGAGTCTGAGTAAATGAGTCTATGTGTGGGTTCTTTAAGAAGAAATGCTAGGGGCTCTAACAGTTTCTTCCACTGACTCAATGCCTGCTGGTTTTTGCAGCCAGAAATTGTGAGGACTTACCTTCCTGGTACTGGAACCCTTGGCTAGAATGCCTCTTGTTGGGCAGGGGCTCCTCACTCCTGGAATATCCCTCTCAAATTTTTATCCACGACATGTGCATGAGGGACCAGCCTGTTCCGTATCTGCACACCTCCTACCAGTCTGGATGGATGTGGTTTCTTTAATTCCATAATTGTCAGACTTCCATTCAGCTCGATTTCTGACAGTCTTGAGTGATGGTTATTCTGTATTTTAGTTGTAATTGTGATGTGGTTGTGCAAAGAGGCACGCCATGGCTGACTAGGTCACCATCTTGACCAGAAGTCTTAATACTTTGTTTTTCTATGTACATATTAGCTAATATCTTTCCAAAGTATTAACTAATATCTACAATATCAACTCTTTAAAATCTGAATCCCAAATAAACATTTTTTTCTATAGGTAAAGATATATTAAGTGTTAAAATTTTATTCTAATTCAAGTAGGTATTTTACCTTTAATCTTGCTCAGATATTTTATTTTTGTTGGTATATATGAGACTTGTATAGGTTATTTGAGGTACAGATTTCCATAGTACATATGAAAATCTATAATATGAATTAAGATCTATAACACTGTCATATTGTATAAAAAATGAGGATATATATAGTTATGGGAAAATAGAATAACAATATCTAACGTATGAGTTTGTATCCATTAAATTGCATCTATCTTCTTTAGGAGGCTGGTGGTGGCACGATGTATGTGAGGAAAACAACCTAAATGGTAAATATAACAAGCCAAGAGCAAAAACTAAGCCAGAGAGGAGAAGAGGAATATGTTGGAAGTCTCAAAATGGAAGGTTATACTCCATCAAATCAACCAAAATGTTGATCCGTCCAACAGATTCAAAAAGCTCTGAATGAACTAAGGAAAATTAAAAAGTCAATAAATTAAATATTAAAAAAAATCTTTCCAAGTTACTGTGGTTTAATAATCTGACATCAAATCCCTCATAAAGGCTTTAGAAAAAGATTATTTTAAAGCCACTGTCAATTTAAGATTAAATATATCATCACATCACCTAAAAGAAAACCATTTACCTTCTTAATCGATTCTTATAATTATGAAAATAAAATTCTTATGATCATTTATTCATTTATTTTGTGATATGAAAATCGATTTTAGATGTTGCAATCTAAATCTTAACCAACTGGTGAATTTTTAAATAACTGTTTTAAATAAAAAACTTACAAAGATACTTTTATTTTAAAAGTCAGCATGTGGGCTAATTCCACAACCTCCTAGGTAAAAAAAGACAAGTTTTCTTGCTAAAATTTTAAATCTGAATAAATATAAAGGACTAATAATTGTATAGGTCTCAAATGCTATAATATCACTAATTTCCAAGCCAAATTTTACTCTGTTCATAGTACATATGAAAATCTATAATATGAATTTTTAAACTGATGCTTCCTTTGGCTACAAAATAATTTGGAGTAAATGTTTTTTACTTATGTAGTAGGGTGAAATATTGTATTGAAATACATTCACATGATCTACTTAAATTCAGTAGATCATGATTACTAAGTCATCCTGACTTTTGTATCAGGTACCACTGAACCTTAACATACATTTTCTAACTTATCTATAATGTATACATTTTATATATTTTAACACTTAACAACTGTGAAAACAAAACATTTTAAGGGATCTTATCAGAATACATTAAGAATGAATGTATTTGTGACATCAAGTTAAATAATTTATGGTGTGTGTCTAATATTTATGCGTAGGTTTTCAAATAGAATTAAATATCATTCAATTTATTGAATGTTTAAATAGCCCAAGACACATGTATGTATTTTTCCAAATTCAATAAGAACTCAGTCCCCTAAATTATAGAAATTTAAATTCTTGTAATTTTTTTATTCATATCCTATAAGAAGTATGACTGTTATTTCTAATATAAATAATTTAAATTCTAAATCCTCAGGGATTATTACAAATAAAACTTTTGACAATATCACTGGTCAGTATTAATTTTTAAATAAGTTTTTAAAGAAACTACCAAAGAGAAATAAAGATTTGAATTAAATCCAGTTTTTAAAAGATACAGTGCTAAAGTTATACAGTGACTGACTCACCTTAGTTAATAAATATTCAGCATTATGTATTTAAAATTACCCAGTATATGAATTTATGTCATGTGTAAAAAATATCTGATATATAAATATGTATAATGTATGCAGATCCTAAATAAATATTTTGTTCCAACAACAGCACAAAAGAATACAGGGAAGAATAAGTTTTAGCTTTCACAGCCTTGGCCAAATTGCCAAAATTGAATTTTTAGAGCCAGTATACTAAAATAGCATTCTTTAGGAAATAAAAAATGAAGCTTTCAAATGCAAAATAATGCATTATTTAATATACCAATTACTTCCTCTATTTGTTTTTCAATTCTTTACAATTCTAAAACAATATGTCCACTTTGTTCCTTTTGGGACTTCTGTTAGTCTTTTTCTGCTTTAAATATAAAGATCAAATTGGGAGATAATTCTGGTAGAGAAAAGAGCAAGAATTTTTTCCTTTATTGTTCACAAAATCGTGTCCCTCTGTCCTTAGTACTTTGCCAAAAGTGTTTTAATTTCACCACTGACTCATAACTGTCAAATCTAAAGGCCTTTTCTCACTCCACACACCCTTTCCTCTCCCTACTACTCACTAATAACATTCTTTTTTCAAACTTGACTTTCATTTTGCCTCCACGTATTACTACACTCTCCAAGGATTATCCATAATTTGAGTCCATCTTTATAGTCCTATTCTCTCTTAGTATTTAGTATTATGGGCCAATATACAATATTCAATCATTTCTTCTACTCTGCCCTTTAGAAACTCAATCTACTCTCACAGACTCATTTATTTTCCATGAATAAAGTTCCTAAATCTGCATAGTATTTCCAGATCTCTCTCCAGTTCTCCTCCTTACATTGCCTATCTGCCATTTCTCCTTTTGTATCCTAGTCCCCTCAAATTCAGCATATCAAATTATGAAATCATCAATACCTTACTGCCTCTGTGGGTCCTTCCTCCCTTATTACCTTATCCCACTCTCCTCCTTAATTCATTATACCCATTAATGGCAACACTACCACCATGCTTCCCAGTCACAGCAGCTTAAAACCCAAGAAACACCTCTGGCTTTTCACTTAACTTTTAAACTACCTCTCCTGTATCACAAGCCACTAAATCCATTACACTTTTCTTTTGAAAAATCCCTTAATCTGATATGCTTTCTTCCCACTTCTACTGCCAAAAACCCACCAAGGATTGCCTTTAACCTAAGACTTAAAACTATTTAAATAGTCTCCTGCCTGGGCTCTTAATTTTATGTCTATCTTCCTTCGTCTTCCTGAAACAAATTTGTAATGACTGTATACTACTTCAACCTGTGTCGCTCAAACTTGTCTATTAAAAAAGTGTAGCAACCAAGGATAACGAAACATATCCTTATAGATTCTGCAGTTATAAAATAAAATGGCTTGATTTAAGCACAGACTTCCTCTGGAATCTTAATAGGATTTTATCTTAAATCTTAGAATCTTATCTTAAAATTGCATTTGTTCCCCACTCTACATATCTATCTTCATAAAAAAAAAATAGTTATTTCCTCTCCCAATCTTCTAAAAAGTGATGTTCCTGGAAGATGTACGATGTTTATCCTGTGGACTTGCATATCCCATACAGCTGTACCCTCAAAAGAACATATACCCCAATTAAAAGCACACAGGCCTACAGAATGAAATCCAACTATCTTCTAGGTACTAAAGGGTTTTTATAATCTGACCCTAAATTACCTCTTTAACTATTTTTTGCCCAACACAACCCCTTAGCTCTTATCATAATTATCTACTTTTAAACATCCCCTATATACTTTCCTAATGCCATTCCATTTGTCTAGAATGCCCATCCAGATCATTCTGCTTGGCTAGGTCCTTCAGTGTAAGGGTAATCTCACTTTTCCCACAAACATCTAGTAAATAAATGGAGGCTCCTTCCTTTGAAACCTTGCAGCATTACCGTTTGTACCCCTCAAATGACACTTAGCAAAAGAGGAAAAGACAAAAAAGTAGATCTGGCAAAATAATTTTTTAAAATGTGAGGAAAAAGTAATAAAAACTCCAAGAGCAAAGATAGTCAATCTACTTGATTTTAATGAATTATACTAGTTCCTCACTTCTATCTGTGGTCTTGCTTTCTACAATTTCAGTTACCCATGCTCATATTAATCATTTTCATTAAATATTAAATGAAAAACTTCAAAAATAAGCAATTCACAAGTTTTAAATTGTGCACTGTCCTGAGTAGCATGATGAAATCTCAAATCATCCCACTTCTTCCTGAGATGTGAACATCACTTTGTCCAGCACCACCAAGCTGTATATGCTACACACCTTTAGTCACTGAGTAGCAGTCTAGGTGATCGATCTACTGTAGTAGATAGCAGTGGCAACTCTTATTTTGCATAATAATGGTCTCAAAGCACAAGAGTAGTGATGCAGGCAATTAGGGTATGCCAAAGAGAAGCCATAAAGTGCTTCCTATCAGTGAAAGGTGGAAGTTCTAGACTTAATAAGGAATGAAAAAACATCATATTCTGAGGTTGCCTCATCTACAGTAAAAACAAATGTCCTATCCATGAAATTGTGAAGAAAAAAGAAATTTATGCTAGTTTTGTTCTCACACCTCAAACTGCCCAAGGTACAGCCCCAGTGCATGATAAATTCTTAGATAAAAAAGGAAAGAGCATTAAATTTGTTAGTGGAAGACATGACATTGTCATGGCTCGATGATCCTCCTTCTGATGTACTGCCAGAAGGTAAATAGTAGCCTAACACCATGTCACAATACCTGCGTCACTCACCTCGCTTCATCCCTTCACACAGGCACCGCATCATCTCACATCACCACAAGGAGGGTAAGCACAGTAAGATGTTTTGAGACAGATACCACATTCACATAACTATTACTACAGTATATTGTTACAACTGCTCTATTTTATTATCGGTTATTGTTGTTAATCTCTTACTATACCTAATTTCTAAACTAAACTTTATAATAGGTATGTATGTATAGGAAAAAACAGCAAAATATAGCAGGTCCTCAAATAACTTTGTTTCATTATAATGTTGGTGACATGCTTTAGAAACTTAACTCTTGTTTATATCAATTAGGCTATGATAAAATTGGTTTGCTATATGTTGTTTCACTTAAAGTCAAAGACACTATCAACAACATTAAGTGAGAGATTACCATATAGGGTTTGTCACTACCAGGGGTTTCAGGAAACCTCTGGGGGTCTTGGAGCATGTCCCCCGCAAATACGGGGAGATTACTGTATTGCAGACTTTCTACACCAAAAGTTTATTCTGAACCAGTGTGAATTCTACTGCGAGTACGTATACATGTTTCCTCTCTCAGGGTTACCTATTTTAATATAATCTATTTACCCACTCTCTCTCATCCTAGAATCAACACATTTTCATGCCTGTATCTTTCCTTTCTAATAGCATAACTCACAGAAATCAATGAACTCATTCATTAATCAAAAAAGTATTCATTAATCTGTACTTATTGGGTACCTACTATTTGCCTCATTTATGAAACCTAGTCCAAATATGTATTGTTATATATGCCACGCTCTGCTATAGGATAATCAAATTTCTTTGTTTTTTTTCTCCATCACTAACAACCTTAAGCATTGCATTTATGCATGATCAACCAGCACAGCAGTTTTCAAAATTGAAAAGTGAGCCAACAGTTAGTTAGCCTTTTTATCAAAGTTCAGAGTGTTCTCATGGAAAATCAGCTAGATCAAAATTACTCAATTGGTGTGAAATGTGCAGTTCAAGGTCATGAAAGTAGGATTACCAGTCTCCTACAGTAAGCCTTTACAATGAAGTTTCAACAATCTTTTAAA